ATTCATTCACCACTTCCCATGGGCAGGCAGGTGCTCAGCCATCCCCAGGAAAACAGGGCTCCATCACGTGTAACGATGACTTGGGAAGACAAAGACCATCACTCCATATGTCCCCCCTTCCTCCTTCCCCCGGCTTTACACGCTGAGCATGATGTCGTATGGTGTAGGATATCCCTTTGGTCAGTTGGGGTCAGCTGTCCCAGCTGTGCCCCCTCCCAACTTCCTGTGCCCCCCCAGCCTCCTCACTCGTAGGGTAGGGTGAGGAGCAGAAAAGGCCTTGACTGTGTCAGCACTGCTCAGCAGTAATGAGAATATCCCTGAGTTACCAACACTGTTTCCAGCACAAATCCAAAACATGGCCCCATACGAGCTACTGTGAAGAACATTATCCCAGCCAAACCCAGCACAAGGAGGAAAGCTGGAGGCTTGAAAGCGTGCTGAATTTTGGGTAGATATCAGAGCTAGGGCTTTTATTGGGAATGTGGTGGGAACGCTGTCACCTCTCGCTAATGCCTTACGAGAGCCAAGTGGACAGAAAGATTTTTAAGGGCAGGAACCAACTTTGACGTTATTCTGGTGTTAGCACCTTATGTCTTAAATTGCACGTTTAAATACACTCCTGCTAAATGGAGCCTGCCCGAAACACGGTTTGAAGTGAGTTTAACCTACTGAAATTTTAAACATAAGCATAGGTTTGTGCTGCTTTGTTGCCTGCTTGCTGCAAAAGAAACCTGTGTAGTTAGAGGTGAATGTCTCTCCTAGAACTGAAGATCACTTTTTCCTCTAAATTATGCTCCATTTCATCACCACTCAAAGTGAAGATCACTTAAACAATAGTGGGTGTGAAAGAGAAATCAAAAATTGTAATAAAGTTGGTAACACTGGTTATAAAATATTGCTCTCTTGGCGTTGAACAGACATACTCTGAAGTAGCAAGAAGGCATTTTCTGTAATGTGGTCCAGTCCCAAGAGGAGATCTCTAGGAATGATGAAATTTGATGGTTGTGTGAAACTTAGATTAGCACCCCTTCCAATCTATTAATTTTGGCCCTTGTGTCCATGTAATTAAAAGAAAAAGCTTTAGAAAGTGACCTTTGGGCACTACGTATTGCAGTAATGTCCTAAGGCAAGCCAGCTGGCCTGCAGGAACCTAAGGTGGCAGGAGAACATGGAAGAGGAACTTACTGTCAGAGAAAGCAAGATGCTCTTGTGACCATCTTTTTGAACTCTTGGGGACTACATTACATCAACTTGTCTCTCCGATTTCTCTTCCTTAATACAACACTTAATGAACCCTCCTGAATCTTTGGGGCAAACACAAATAATTCAGCACCCAGGCATTGCAGGGATGTGAAAGGTCTCTGAGTCGCCTCTGTAAGCATTGGTGCATATCACCCTCCCGTCTTGCAAATGCTCCTTGCATGTTGGCCAATTATTCCTCCTCCCCTGTGGCTTCCTCATAATGCCCTTCTTCCCAAAAGCTGCGGGGCAATGCATGGCATTGTCTGGCTTCACTAGACCTCTTCTGCTCTGGGTTGCACAGGGAGATACTACATTTGCTTTGCTGGAGGGAAACACAGCAGGCCAGTGAGGTTTAAATGGCCAGAGGTGTTGTTGAAAGGTTGGGTAGGGCCAGACAAACCCCATGGTTCCATCTGTTGGGTAGTGTTGCCCTCCTCTGATCTATGCACAGATCTCAACTTTTGGACGTGGAGAATTTGTGGTTTGATGGTCACAGTGGCATCTCAGTGGGCACACCGAGACTGCGTGACTCTCCGCCAGGTTAAACAAGGCCTTCTGGATTGCTGTTAAATGCCAGGAAGACTGACACTCTCCTGGCAGTGCAGAAGTGAGAAGTTACAAGCTTCTACGAGGTTGAGTTGGGTTAAAGATTAGGTCACTTGCATGTGTTAATGCAGCGTGGGTGCGGCAGAGCAGGTGGCGTGCACGTCCGCAGACCGACTGGAGCCTTTTCCCGGGCTGAGTGCTTACGCTTGGGGCTGCACTTAGGTTTTCTCAGCCTGACTCTGTTCTCCAGGTCCTGATGATTCCCTATGCCCTGGTGCCATGCCTCCTCCGGCTCTGCCTGTGCCTGACAGCTCAGCTGGGACAGGGTATTCTTTATAGCTTTGCTACAATAAAACGCTCGCACGTTTAACATTTCTAACATGCTTTACTGAACTTGTGATTATAAAGGTAATTTACAATAACGCAATTAAATAAACAATAAGTTAAAACACAATACATTTATACATAGTATGTCAAAGGGGTCGAATGACTATCAGGTTCCAATACAGGTAAGACTTTAAACCAACATTAATATTCAAAGTGTATCCACGCCTATACTTATCATTGTAACATGTTTCAAGACTCCCAACAACGTACATTTTTGGTTACAGTCCCCGTATATGCAAAAGACCAGTGAAATGCTCGAGCAATTGCACAATTGAGAAGAGCACTACACGAGACAGGCACGAACGATGTGCTGGAAGCTGCCTGGGAATATGGGCTTTACCTCTAAATTGAATTGACATTTCAGACAACAAATGGAAAGTGCTAGCATGCTTTCTGGAGTACATGTGGGAACAAGTCTCCATGTCACTTACTGAACACTGTCGTTTCACAAGTGTTTTAGGTCAGTGCTGCCTAAAGAAATACCCCACCCTTCTTTGGGCATTTGCTCCCGTGCGCATCGCGCACCAAACTTGAGCTAGTGCAAAGCACTTGTACATTTGCTCAGTGAACCAGCCAGGGAAACTGAGCTTACCGCTAGCTCAGCAAACAGGAAAGTGTGCTAGCTGAAATTCTCTTGATTTCCCTGGTCATGTTTGCTGGCACCAGAAAGACACCAACACAGTGCCTGGGAGCAGGAGGACTATTTCTGTAGGCAGCAGTACTGTTAAAAACACCAGTCAAAACCATCTTGTGGAACTACAGCATTCGGCTTTTTCAATTTGAAACAATGAACAGGTTTTTGAACTGATTTATAGTGCAAATCAAATAGCCAAAAGCAAAATGATGGACTCTGCCAGAATATACAGTAACTTTTTATCTATCTCTTCCTTCTTTCTCTCTGCCTCAGCTGATCAGTGCCCAGGGACAGAGTGGACTTTAGGTTTTGATATTGAAGGGTGTACGGCGTAAAGAGTGCAGGGCCACCAGGCAGCAACCACGAAGCAATGCTCCAATATTGTAAATGGGATCTGTTCCTCCTCTCTGAGTACTGAAAGCCCACATGATAGTTGGTACAACAGGGGCTGCCACAGCCAGAACATCTCTGAGGAAACTGCTGCTCCAGTATCTCTTTATTCCTGTCTGGGAGAAAGTACTGACATACCCAAGGGCTTCATCATCATAAGGTTCTGTAAAATCAAGTTCTTTCATGAAACGGTTTTCATTAACTCCTTGTTCCACCTTCCTGCATGGAGACTCCACAGGAGACAAAAGGATGGCAGAGTTTGGATCACTTGGAGTTAAGTCCATTATGATACCAGAATCACTGAAGCTTCCAAGAGAAAATTCACCCAATTCCTTCAGTGAAGAAGGTGGGCTTAGAGGACAGGCATCTTGAGCTCTGAAGATGCTTTGAATGAGCTGCTCCACATCTAGGCTACATGGCACCACATCAGTCTGGATGGCCTGTTCCACCATTATGTTTCTGCTTTTCTTCTCCTCCTGGGAAGAAGTTAGTTTTTCATCCAGAACATTTTCAAGCATCTCTTTATTCACAGCAGAACTGGAAGGAGCTGGAGCACTCAGCTCAGAGGTTGTGGTGGTCAAACTCCCTTCAGACGAATCAGTCCCGTTAGCTGTGTCCTCATTAGGCAGCAGCCCACTATCTGTGACCCCCTCCAGAGCCTGGTCCTCTGTGATGAGGCTGTCTGGCATCATGGCACACAATGCTAATGACGTCCCCTCCAAGTCATACGTGTCCTCCAGGCACTGCTCATCCATCACAGAGCTGTTCTGAGCCATCTCCATGCTCTGCAGCAAAGATTCCAGTTTCTTGTTTTGAACGTTTATGTCTATGAAGTATTTCTGAATTTTTTTGTCTTTCTCAGCCAAGCTGTTTTTCATGGTTTCAATAACCTGCTTGAGTTGTTTAATTTTGCTTCTTGCTTCCTTCAAGGCCAGCTCTGCCTCCACACGATTACACTCTTCTTCAATCCAGTCTTCCCTCATCCGTCCCAGCTGAGCTTTGAGCTCTTCTATTTCTGTTTCCCTGTAGCGAAATAAAAATATTGTACTCAGCGGAAGACGCTGACAAGAGCCTCACATGGACAAGAGCCCCACGTTGACCACAGTGGGATGGCTACGCTGCAGAGATGCTCCAAGAAGGAAGCAAATTTCACCGTGCACCATTTGCTGCCACCTCGGAGAGAGCTGGCAGAGATGTAAGCCGCCTGCCAGGACACGCCGGCTGACTGCTGCCTGAGTCACCGACCTTGCCACACAGCCAGCAGCCTTGTGGGCTATGCCATGATCCTGGACATTCTGAGGCACGAGCGGTGACTTCTAGGTTAGGTCCCACCAGTACAGCGCTTAACATCTCACCTGCTGCCTGGCCCTGGGGGAAATGAAAAACATCTGCTTGGATGCATCCCCTGTGCCCGCCAGCAGCTCCTCACCTGCAGCCAGAGCCAGCGCTGGCCTTGGGCAGCAGGAGGGAGCGGGGCTGCGGGCGCCTGCCCTGCTTTGGCCAGCGCGGAGCCAGAGGCTGCTGCCTTGACTTGCAAGCAAGTGGGGAGAGGGGACCCCAAGGTGAGATCCAGCCCTCACAGACACAGAGGTCGGGCTGTCCCGAGCAAGGGGTCCCTGGGACTCTGCCTTGGGGCTCCATTCAAACAGCCCTTTGTGCCCGCTTGGGTCATGTGTGCTGGCGAGCCAGCTCCCAGGGCGGTTTTAGTAAAAGAAACAGCATCTGGTGCTGTGTCATGCACGTTGTCACTTCGCTGCTCAGCGTCCATACAAAGGACCATTGTGGAAAATTCCATATCCAAGTGACAAAAACACAAGTGGGCACACTGGTTTGTGGAAGAGCTTTTCGTTCCTTAGGGTAGAAGGGGGACATTTGTAGTCATATTTCACTAAGTGAGGTAGAACAGGAGTCTAAGGTAATACATGCTGGCAGGTAGAAACTGATTTTATCTATAAAAGGTCTCAATGCTAAATCAGACAGGTAAAAAAATTATTCTTTAAAAATATTCTATCAGGAAAGTTCAAAAAAGGGAAAAGAGCCATATTTGTAACTAAACTGCATGGTACATATTCACTGCGCACACTATGAAACCTGAAATACCTGAAAACAACCTAATCAGACTGACTGTATTTCAAATTTCTTAATGAACAATTTATGAGGTGAAGAAATGAATAAAACCATTCAGAATTCCCACCCCTAAATGCTCCTGAATAAATCTTTAACTCCGATTTCTGAAGTGAAATATACCTTTCTTTAAGTTTGCTCTCAGATTCCTTCAGCTTTGTTTTCAGATGCCGTACTGTAACTTCCTTCTGCTGCAGAGGAGTCAAATACTGCTCTGGGTTTGGGGGCTTAATGCTGTGATTGTCACCACAAGAATTGTATCTCCCTGATCGCCTGAAAAGAAAAACAAACAAACAATCACATAACATCACTCCTACAGTTCTTCATTCCTGGCAAAAAGAAAAACATCCCATTGACTGACACAAAGCTTGACGCATTTGGGGGTCCTCAGTGTCCACACAAGTGACTCCCTCTGGCAAATCAAAGTACTCGAGGAAACGGCTGATTTGTGGCTAAAATTTACTATTTATTGTACTTGGTTTCAGTGCCGTTGCATCAAATGAGATGTTTAACTTTAAAATACCTAGCCATCCATCCCCTCACCCGAAACGGGTGCTGTGCCCAAGAGCAGGCAGCCGGGCCGCTGGCACGGGTACCCAGCTGCTGGCACGGCCAGGTGAGGTCGCCTACGGACAGCGTTCAGCTCTGCTCCTGAGTTATGAAGCTGAGCACCCTGAAACCCAGAGCCACCCTGTCCAGCTTTAGCTGTCTGTCTGACATGCCTGGCTGTTGAGTTGCCTGTGAGAGAGAAGGAAACAGCAGCAGCATGGTAGCAATTGCTTCCCTGTGATACGTGTCATATGCTCCGGCAGGTATCAGAAACTGCACTCCTCAGGGAGGCATCTAAGCATGTCCAGAGGAGAGCAACCAAGCTGGTGAGGGGTCTGGAGCACAAGTCATACGAGGAATGGCTGAGGGAACTGGGGTTGTTTAGTCTGGAGAAGAGGAGGCTGAGGGGAGACCTGATCGCCCTCTACAGCTGCCTGACAGGAGGCTGTAGGGAGGTGGGGGTCGGCCTCTTCTCCCTGGTAACAGATGATAGGACGAGGGGGAATGGTTTGAAGCTGCGCCAGGGCAGGTTTAGGTTAGATATTAGGAAAAACTTCTTCACTGAAAGGGTTGTCAGGCTCTGGAATGGGCTGCCCAGGGAGGTGGTAGAGTCCCCATCCTTGGATTCTAAGGATGGGCAGGGTGAATTTTCGTCCAAGTGTATAATGTTTTCTATACTACCCCACCCAACTCTCTCCAAAGTGAAAGGACCCTTCTGTGAAAGAGCCAGTAAATCCCCGTGAGAAGCAATGGCATGAAACCACATGAAGAAGCCTTTGCTCTGGAGGGAAAACCAACTAAAAGGGACTTTGACTAAAAGGAACCTTGAATTTTACAGTGCTGAAACTAAAAAAGCTTTTACACAGGATGGAGCACCCTATTGACTGTCGAGCCACCAACATGAGGAGTCACACCTATGCTGAGGAGCAAGGTGGTCTGCTCGGCAACCCAGACAGCTGATCCCGCCTTGCAGTGCAGAGAAGGTAAGTCAGTGCGCTGAACACCGGGATGCTAGAATAAAGACTTGCCTCATCACTGGGCTGCTGTCGCTTCCTTTGTATGAGCCTGAGTTGCTGCTGCTGGCTGAAGAAGCCCGGTAACTTTGGTGGATGTTAGCGGGATTCAGCTGGTTTTTGCACAGTGTTGACAAAGGGTCCTTTTCACGGGAGGCAGGTGGGCTGGCTCCAGACTTGTAGGATAAGGATCCATTATTCCGACCATAAGGGCCACGACTGGAGGGGAACCAAAATGGTTAAAGTGTATTGCATTATCCTTGCCATGCAACCCGTTATGTGTCTTATTTTGCACACAAAGTTGTCAAAACACTAAACGAGACAGATAACTGTGAGTAGCTGGGAAGAAAGACCTGAAGGCATCAGCCACTGCACATTCTTTCATTGACTGTGGGGCGCTCAGTCTGAATTACTTGATCTAGGGAAACCTTGGCTGTTTTCACATTTTTCTGTGGATAGCACAGTTCCCAGTGACTCCCTCAGATCGTCCACGTTCCCTGAAACTCTGACTCCGTTAAGTAATGAGAGGATTGCAGCCTGGGCTAGTGCCAAAAGAACCACAGTTTGGCTTTCCCTGGCCAGGCCTGCGGAGAGATGCCCAGCCCTGGAGGTTTGCTGTAAGACTGCTTTCATGCTTCTCAGCAAGCAGCCCGAGGGATCACAGCGTGCAGTGAAAACAGATTTTGTTTGAGCCACTGTTCTTTTCTGCCTTTGGCATACTGGGTGCTTCAGCTGTCACTGTCAGCTATTCATTTGCTTAGATATAGTTTGAGCCCTACTGAGAGCAGGCTGAAATGGTATTAAAATAGACAAAGGAAAGCGCAGCCTTTTCTTTCTTCCTTCCAGTTTCCCTCATACATATCTACCTTTCTTTTCCCACTCTTTATTAAATAATCTGTCAACTGTGTGTGCTTCAAGGCAATTGGTATCTGCACTGCCCGGCAGCTGCCAAAGGGCTGGGGCGCTCCGAGGTCAGCGTCTCCAGGCACGTTCCTCGCTTGCTCACTTGGTTTGCCTTCCTGCACACTACCATGCTGCTACCTTCATCCTCCCATGGAAGCTGTTCTTCTAAACCGTAATGAAAGGGCAGGTTTCAAAAAATACAGAAAAAGGCAAATCCAGCCAGCAAAAGAAAAGGCTTGAACATAAAAATTTAAATACCGCAGAATTATGAAACAAAATCTCTTCTTAAAACTGTCTGACTTGGTTTCCTCCCTTCTCTGAAAATGGAACAGTTTATAAGGAACAGATGGTTGAGTGGCTGCTGCAAACCTTCATCACGCTGCTGCGGTTTGGGTGATTTTATAATTATTTTACAATGAAGTGCAGGACTGTGGTTTCTGACAACATTGAAATGCTTCATAGTGAGTTAAGTCAAACAGTTCAAAAAGAGCATATTGCAAAGGAGACATCTCCTTCCCCTTTGTGCAGAACAGCACCAGCTCTGGTGTGAGGCAGAACTCGCGCGGACTGTGCCTAACACAGCAATGCACGTGAAGGAGCACTGTTATAGAGGACTTCTGTCCAGTTAAGTAGGTCGGCATGCTCTCATTTAAAGTTATATTTAAATACACAAAAATATATGGAACGATACATAATCTCACTGAATGTAAGGTGATTTTAGGGCTTTGGATTATACTTAGTACTGTTTATTTTCCCCATAGCCAGTACCTTTACTTGTTAGATTTAATCTAGAGAGTGCGTAAGTAATGTTTATTTTTCTGGCGGTCTCACAATACAGATAGGAAACTGCTCATGAGGCATCGTTCCGCTGATCTCTGTACACTGGGATGCACTGTGACCCTGGAGACGCCTGCACACGGGTACCCCGCTGCCGTCCCAGCCTGCCTGCCAGCTCTTCCACAAAGGGCAGGAAACCAGTCCTGTCAATTTGAACTCTTCCCCCTCCTACTCCAAAAGATGTAAGCAGCAGGGGTTGCGTGGGCAGAGCACAACATGCACGGCTCCATCCAAACGCCCCCGTATTTGCAAGCTGCCTGGATTTGCACTTCACACATGATAGGGAGAAATCTTACAGAAATCTTTCATGAAAGGTTCATTTAGATAGATGATTATGATCATGTCTTTTATTTTCATATTTATAGTTATATAAAGGTTGGGCAGGGGTGTTTAAGAAAAAGGTGTCAAAGGCAATATTGTCTACTTCTTCCTACAAAAAATAAGGTAATGATCTGGAAAGGTACCTGCCAAGCCGACAATTTATTACCGAGAGAAAACAAAGAGGTAAGACCAAAAGGTTAAGGTTAACTGGTGAGAAGTAGTGCTTTTAACTAACATAGACTCAGTTGTCTCCTCCTCCACTCCAGCCAATGCCTTTTCTGCCTCACCTGATTGAATCTCCCATATGTGTTATGAATAAACAACAAAAAAAATCAGTCAGCTGATCTGGCATATTGACAGTTTTTGTGCTCCAGATACAGCATTTTTTTTTTTCTTTCTTATATCACAGTTCTCATCAGTGTAAGTCCTGCCTGACAGCATAGCGTTACCCAAAATTTTTGAAAAATCACAGTACTGGTATTGTAGGTATTAGCTGCAGGACCTTACATAGCAGTCTATCTTTGCACGAGCAACACTTGCAATAATCAGGAAAAATTGCTTTGCTTACTTGCGAGAAAAAGAAGATCTTTTGCTTCCAGCAGCAGACATATGGACTTCAGGAGCTGAAATACTGCCTGTGCTGCTTGAAGAGCTAAAATCAGCTTCACTCCCTGGAAAGGAAAAGGGAAGAGTGAAAACATGATGGAAATTATAACTCAAAGACTGTTTTCAAAATAACAGTGAATCACAAGCATCCTTCCTTTGTCCGTCCTGTGTGAATTTTAGAAGTTGCATGAATTTTCAAACATCCCTGAGGACAAGCGCTGGATTTATTCCAGATTTTTAACATTTCTTCAGCACTGGCACTTCAACAAGAGCAGGAAAAAAAAGCATTTGGATACAAAACCCTCACGCTACAGAAGCCATTTTAGGACTGGGCTGGGAACATTCGTTGTGACAACCTGTTTGCTTTCTCACAGCCACCAGCACATGAATGAGGCGGCTCACGTGGCACCTTCGGGAGCGCGGTGATTAGGAGCACACAACTGTAACTGGAGGTTTCTCTTGCTTTAAACCACATGAAAATACTACTTGCAGGGAGGAAAGCTGCTTCCATTTCGGTTTCTGAGTACATACATGTATATATGTATAAATGTGTATGGCCTAATAGGGTATATGCATATATATATAAGCACATACGTATGTGTGTGGCACAGAAGCACAGTAAGGCAGTTCTAATAGCCTTAAAATAATCCAATAATCACACGTGACTCTCAAGTGCTTCTTGGGTGCTAAGCCATCTGTCTGACTGCTGACTTCCTATGGATCACGGCTTTTATTTCCCAGGCTCTGGCGTATACAAGGAAAACTGTTCTCATTTTGCTAAGGTCAGCACAGGTAGATGTACTGAGAAAGTCATATCATCTGGAAAAAAAACCCACCCTAAAGTTAGGATTTTTTTCAGTCTGTCACTCAAATGGGAAATGTCCCAAGCCACATCCAGGTGTCATGCTGCAGAGCCACAATAATGGGTGGTGACTTTATCTGAGGGGATGGAAACAACTTTCCAACATCCTTTAAGCAGCTGGTCAGGGGGAGCATCTCCAACCGAAGAATTCCTGGGTGCTGTCCCATGCATAGACACCCCCGGCCAGCGGCTCCAGACCTACCACAAATCCCATTTTTGCTATCTTTTCCACGAGGGGGAGATGCAGCTGCAGCTACCATCCTCCCTGCTGCAGCAGATAAACCTTCAAGTGCACAATGTCTCTTAAATCCTTTGCAGAGCTGATGGAGATGGGCACATCTTGCACGCCTGAATACCTGGGACTGGGAAAAGGCCTTGTCAGAGCCTGCCTTCACAGCCTTAAAAAGAATGAGACATCCAGCCTTACCGTCTGGCAACTCTTAGCAATTGGTCTTAGGATCAGATGTGTTCGGATTTAACCCAATACTATCACAACCTCAGCAAGTCTGAGGCCAGCCCCCATTTCTCTGTGCCTCTGGTTCAGCCCAGAATATCCCTCAGCCCAATTTCAAAGTGCTCAGATACAAAGCTTAGCTCTTCAAAAGGGTATCCCAGGGACGCAGCTTTAGCACCTCTAACCAACTCCATAGCCAGTACAACAGCCCAGATAATCAGACCCAAGGCACCACAGCTGTAACCAGATCAGAACCACGCACGCGTTTGCGAAGGGAGGGAGGGAGGGAGGGCAGCAAAGCCGCTTTGTTTCACAGGGTATTTATATCATGTCTACAGATGCAGATGTCACTGACCCTCTCCCTGGGGAAGCAAAATGACCGTGGGACACGATATCCGAAGCTGCAACAGTTTTCCTGATAAACAAAACATTCCCATCTACAAGACTAAAGGACGCTCTGAACGCCGTCTCGGTACCACACTACTCCCAAATCCACTTTTCCAAACAAGACACGAACAAGTAAAAATGTTGCGCGGATGTCATACCTCTGGTGTTCGGATCCCCCAAACATTCCTGCCCTTGCAGGAGGCCAGCAGCTTTCCAAAGCCAAGCCCTGGCTGTGGCACAGAGAGCAGGAGCCCCAGCCGAAGCTCACCTCTGGTTAAGTAGACCACATTGTAATCAGATCTCGCTACCGAAAGCATTTCAAGGAAGCAAGGCTTAATAATCACCTCTCCCTGACCCGCCTGGCTTGGAGGGCAGTGCTGGGATGGGCTGCCAAGCGGGGCACTGCCGGTAAGAGTTAGCAGAGCCTGAAAATGCAACCACCTCGAAGGCTGAGCTTTCTGAAAGACCGAACTGCATCTGAAACTAGGAACTGTGCCTGCAAAGCACAAATTAACCTTTCTTGCCCCAATTCTGGTAACAGCTACACATAAGCTTAGCACTGAGCACAGGAGACTAATGTTTAAAATTAGGCACGTGGCTATTTATAGGATCTTCGAGAACATTTTATAAATTAAAGGGATCACTGCTAGTAATGGTTCCAAGTGTGTTAATGACATTCAAGCCAGCTTTGCGTGCAGCAGAGCTCAACAGCAATGTTACTAGGAGACTTTAAAAAATATTTTCTCCCATTTGGTAGACATCTCTAAGCAAAATAACATGGCATCAATCCATAAAATACCAATTGCAACATATTCCTCTGGGTGAGTGTGACTTCCATCTTACAAATGTCTTAACAAAGAGGTGAAATTCCTTGTCTAGCAGCAATGCGGGCAGGAGCCGAACACGGCCTCTCATCTCTCCTAATGCCATTCTCCAGGGTGACAGCTCCCTAAGGATTCCTGTTGACTATTTTTGTCCCTGTGACAATGTGATTGCCAAAGCTGACACGTGTAAGCCCCAGAACAGCCCACTGATTCAGCGTTAACCACAAAAAGGTTGATATTTCTGAAAAACATATTCTTTTGTCCTAACAGGACATAACGCTTGTTTGGCTCTGACCTGAGACTTTCCTGTTAAGAGGACTGTCTTGCCCACCCTGTCCTGCAAAAGATGCCACAAGTTGAGCTGCCAGCTTCAGCAGTATCGCATTTGAAATTCATTCATACATATTCATACATGGCCAGCTGTGACAGAACAAAGGGTAATGGTTTTAAACTAAAACAGGGTAGATTTAGATTGGACATAAGAAAGAAATTCTTTACAATGAGGGTGGTGAAACACTGGAATGGGTTGCCCAGAGATGTGGTGGAGGCCCCATCCCTGGAAACATTCAAGACCAGGTTAGACAGGGCTCTGAGCAACCTGATTCAGTTAAAGATATCCCTGCTCACTGCAGGGGGGTTGGGCTAGATGGCCTCTAAAGGTCCCTTCCAACCCAAAACATTCCATGATTCTATGTTTCTATATTCTTCCATGTTCCAGCCACTCAATGTCACAGCAGCAACAGGCGAGCCAACACGGGAATATGCTCTGATGGCACATGTAGGGCATCCGATGCTAGGGAACCCATCACTCTGGCCTCCCCCTGCCTCACCACGGGCTCCAAGGAGCAGCACACCCATGCCATGGGAGTGGAGCTGTGCACTGCTCTGTGCAATGGGAAGAACAACACAAGGATGTCCAACAAATTACTGTAACATTTTCCAGGATTGCTGCTTGCCTGGAACGGGTATCTGAGAAGCAGGAGTGAAATCGTGCCAAACCTAGCGCCGTCCCTGTGCTTTACCACTCGATGGGCAATGGCACTGAGCTCAGAGCACACCACAGACAGCATCATGCTGTGTGCTGCCTTTCAGCTCTCTTGCTGCCCCGACGGCACCGTGACAGCCACCTAGCTCCAGCTGACACAGAGGGGAGGAGAAGGGAGCCTGCAACACCGCGACTCTGTGCTGTGCTGCCCATGATGAGGAGCACAACCAGGCAGAGGCAGAGAGGGCAGCCATGGTCCGGCAGACACATGTGCTCGTCTGCATCATGGGTTGGGGACCACAGCTCTGGGGGGTAACGCTGTCCTGCTGCAGCACTGCAGCCGACTGGAAAACCTCCTACTAATCAAAGGCAAATTTTCCATCCTGTATGTGATGCAAGTACAAATTTCAGGGTGGGATTGAGGAAAGGGAGAGTGAGCTGCCTGTGCCAGGGCAGGTACGCCTCCAGCTGGCACTGGTGTGTGTTTATCCCACTCGTGCAGTGCAGCTGTCACGCCCACATTTTAGGTACAGAAAAGCCCCACCTTGAGCTCTGCCCTCTTCACTGCCTCAGCCACTGTGCAAGGATAATGGCACAGCACAGCAACCATGTCACACCTTGCATTCACTGCTTTTGCAGGTAGGACAGATGAGGTATATTGGGCCTACCGGCCCAATATGCAAGCACAGAAATACCACGTCATGTATCTATGTATGTATATAGAGACAGTACATACATTTCTTGCACAGACTCACACAATAACCCCACATGCACGCCTGGAGTATGGCAACCCAGTCTGCTACTTCTAGCCATGACAGGTGGTTGGATACCCTGTTGTATTGTCTTCTGGGCTTGGTATTAAAATTTTGTTTGCACTTTAGCATTTAATCTTTTTCCTTCTATAAGAATAAAGCTCAAACTTTCTCATGGACCAAAATATTGTCCATTTGCTATCTAAATAGTAATATTTGTGGCCAGTGAAGCCATCGCTCCCCGCTCTTCGAGGGACATCCGCTAGGCTGCTTGCCTGCTTTCCCTCATCAGACAGACCTGGTGCATTTTATTGTCCGTTTGCTATCTAAATAGTAAGACTAAAATATGGAAAAAAGGAAAAAGTTCACATAATATCAGTGACAGGAACATTGACAGCTGAGCAGCAGAACTGGATTCCTAAAACTCAGGATGCATACGAACTTGTTAAAATTTAATCTTTTTGTGTTAGGTCTTTCCTATTTGCAACATCACCACTGTTTCATAGCTGTCAAAGCATATAAACCACAGAGCTTACCTATCTTCTGACTCCATAAACATGACCTCTTTATAATCACCTTGATGCTAGGTTTTGCATATAGTCACCCAGTGAAACAGAGCTGTATATAAAACAGCGCTGACAGAGACATCTTGTCCTCAAGATGTAAAGCACTTAAATTTGCTTAGCCTCCTTGCCTTCAAAAGCATCCTGTTAGACTGCAAAGAGACCAAAACGCGCATATGTGGTCACCAGCCCTATGCGTCAACTAGAGGAGTAACTGGCACGCTGTCTCTGCAGGTAG